TTTTTTTTCCTAAAATATTTCCGGCGGATTTATTTTTTTGAATTTTTAATACTTTTCCGGCGGACATTTACCGCCGGTAATCCGCCGGTCATATCTTTTCCATTTTTTTCCAAACATTAATTACTTTTTAAAGATTAATTAACCCAAAATTAATAAATCCGCCGGAAATATAACCGGTTTAACTTTTCCGGTGGAATTCCGGCGGATTTCCGGCGGATTTCCGGCGGATTTCCGGCGGAAGTCAACAAAAGTTGACTTTTTAAAATACCGCCGGAAATCCGCTGGTAATCCGCCGGAAAAATTCCGGCGGAATTTGTCCGCCGGAAAGTCCGCCGGAAATGCCCAGTTTTCTAATAGTGACAATTATCTTTAAAATTAAAGAAAATATTTTAATAATATAATCAATTTTGTAATTTTGAAAATAGAGAATCTATTAGAGCTGATTGTAGATTTGTTTTTTTGAAGATTTTGAATTTTACTTTTCTTTTAAACTATTAAAAAATATATAGACCAATTGTTACTTTTAAAGAAAATGAAACTGTTTTTTAACCCGATGATGCTATTAATTAGTCCAAAAGATAACAACATACACCTAAATATCGTTATAAATATTATCCTTTTGGTATGACCGAAGACATAAATACACTTGTTTCCGTTACAACGTAGCTCTAGTTTACGCCTTAAGTTAAATACCGATATTTTGGAGATCCGACGCAACACGTGACTACTGAAGCTTGCATCACGTACATGCTTTTTGATACAAAATGAGAATCAACATTCGTACAATGGTCATATTTGTTTGTCTAAGCATATTGATGGCACCGTCATTTGTAGCTGGAGATCCTCCTGTTCGATATATCGGGTATCCTGTACTTTTTAATGGCGATCCACCTTGCAGGTACCATGATCCTAGGCCTATATGCAAACCACGTCGTGCTAATCCTCATGCGCAAAATGATCCTAGGCATGTAAGAAAAGTACTTTCTCAAATAGACATTGTTGACGATGATACGCCTT